GAGTTATAAAACCTACGAGTCGGTTGTATGAAAGGTTCAATACAAAAGAAATGACAGACTTGTCAATTGATTAGGATCTCTAACAAAGTATTGAAAGAGAGGTCTAATGATTCAAATCGTATCAAATTTTCCAAATTGTGGAATATGACCCGTGAGGTTATCATGAGAAAAGTTAGGACTTGGAGGGAATTAAGCTTTCCAATTACTTTTGGAATGTCCCCTTGAAATTGGTTGTTTGACAATCTATCATTTTGAAAATGTTTATAATTCTTCTATTTCTCTATCAACACCGTTTACGTCAATATAATTGAATAATATTGAGCTACCTAACAAAACCTTCATCCCCAAAGTCACTTGTCCCATATAAATCCGAATAATCTTCATGATTATCCCACACATCATATTAAATTTCTCAAAATACCCTTTGGCAAGAACCAATGAATTGATTGTGAGAGAGGTCAAGTATTGCAGATTAGGAAACAATACTTTTGTCTTGGGATTTCCAATGGGACCTAAAATCTATTAATCTCAATATTAGAACTTGTAATTCGGGAAGGGTCGCTAACCAATAGGAAAGTATCTTCAATCATATTGTTCCCAACATCTAGAAGTTTCAAACGACTACAATTAACCAAAGTAGGTGGAATGAACCCTCTAATTTGTTGCCATGGAAATTATTTTTTAGATTCAGAATGAAAGTGTACATAAAAACTTACGACAGTTCCCTAGACATGAGGAATTGTTCAACTCAAGCTATTGTTAGACAAGTCATAATTATAATAAAGCTCATGTTGCAAATGTATGAAGGGATCTCTCCGGTCAATCTATTATGGAAAGTAATAAGTTTCCATAAGAGTGCATCTAGCATAGTAAGTGGGCCTTGGAGCAAGTTGGAACAAGGTCAAGAACATTCATATTCATCACTGAAATTTTTCCAGAAGGGACAAAACTTGTCAAAAAATTGTAAGATATTCAAATGTACAAATTGGGAATTCCAATAGTCGTTGAGAAATCTGGCCAGGAATTCTATTGTTTGAAAGGTCTAGATACCTCAATTTTTTGAATTTCTAGGAAAATTGGGAATTCGGCTATGTTACAAGAAGAGAAATCAAACATCTCAAAATTGGGCAAGGTAAAGTTGGGTTTGTGAGTAACTAATGACAACAAGGGTTATGGAAAGGTTAATGTAACCGATATTCTTGAGGTTGGACAACATGTCTGACTTCACAAGCCACTCAAATTGTTAGATGAAAGGTCAAGTGTTAAAGGTTTTAAAGATCAAACATGGAATTTGGAATTTGACCATGAATCTTGTTACCATAAATAAATTTCTTCCAATGAACCTACAACCTGATGGAACTCATCAACAGTACCTGTGATTGTTTGTTGTTACCAAGGTCTAATGACTCCGAAGGTGATAGAGGAAATAACCAAGATGGTACTCTGCCATTTATAAAGTTTCAAGCATGTAGAGAAGAGTAAGGAGTGAAAGACCACATACTTGACAAGGAATATGGCCTTCAGTTGATTGCTGGAGAATTCTAAAAAGAAATTTTATGAGGTTGAATGCTGAAGATGGCGAAAATTACAGAAACAATTGCCTTTGTCCAAATAATGAGTTCTTAATGGAGAAAAAATTGGTATATATGGAAATAAATGAGTCCCATCATCACTCCTAACACCACTTCACTTCCATATCCTATGACTAAACCTTTCCATCCAAATCCATTTAAGGACTCTGCATCATCGTCCACTATTGATGATGGTGGTTTGCAGTGTCCTATCACGTAAAGCCACATTTATTTGACAAAGGAAATTTACACAAACCACATTTACTTGAAGAATGTTTAATCTTGTCAACTGCTATGAATTTTCCTAACCATTTGAAGTAACGAATTCAAAGCCAGAATGATGTAAAATAATGACACAGTTAGAAACAAGCCTTGGTCATCCATTAGTGAGAATTACTCCATTAACTTACTCTTGGTCATGCACTTGCTAATGGAGAACACAGTAGTTATGCATAACAATTCGCCAATTACATTTTTTTTTTTTTTTTTTTTTTTCTTTCTGAATTTAAAGATTCCTTTACAATTTGTCTTTTAACACAAACATTTGTCATTCAACTATTCTCCTTCTCTTCCTGCTGTCAAATTTGTGAATCAGAGAAGAAGCTGGAAATAACTGCATGGCTTAAAGTAACATTGTTGGTTGTAGTCTCTAGTAAACCCTCAACACCAAACATAAAGGAGAGAAAAAGAGGAAATAAAAAAATAAAAATGCTCTCCCTAAGAATGAACACTGCAAAACCATCTTTCGTATGAAGAGATTTGTTGAACCTAAGACACAGAATAAAATCAAAGGGTGCAGGAACCAAGGCAGCCCAAATCTAATAAGACTAATACAGACAAAAGAGCATTTGTATTCCTATTAGCAGGGTTATAAAATCATATATATAAATTCATACTTCAATGCCTAACAACAAACAATCATCATATTTGATATTTCTCATACACAAATTGAATGTCCCATTCACAGACCCATACACTTTGCTGCACTCGAGCGATGAAAAGAACAAGAATTCCCAGAGTAGAGGTTTCTTATATTATCAATTAAAAATAAACAGAAAAAGAGGAAGATTCAATAAAGAGCCAACTACTTAATAACTAAATAATCATTTGATAAAGTACATTACAATTGAAACTGATGAGTAATTAGGCTACTGACTGCTCATCAAGACCAAGTAACTATAGCTGCATTCTTCTAACACAAAAAGGGAACTAAGGGTTTCCTGTTGAGAAGAATAGCTTTAAATATTCTAGAAAATGTAATTGACAACTTTCTTTTATCTTGTGGTGGTCAACCAACGCTATCTTTCTAAAAACTGAGAAGTATGTTATAAGAGCTGAGAATGATGAAGTTATATATCTGATAACACAAATGGTGTTATGTTTTGAAGATGGCAAATTAAATTTCTCATTTCATGATTCATGACTTAATATTGTTATAATAAAGCAGTTATAATCTGGCTATATTATTAACACAAGTTATCTGCACTGAAGAAACAGAGCAGGGCTGAAGAGCCGAGGCCCCATAAATTACTATTCTGAATAATATTCACAACTTACAACATTTGTTAAACTGAAATTCAACAAAATAGGATATTAAAGCCTATTATAGCTGCTAATTCTAACTCCAATAATTTCAGAAATCCTATGATAGACCATGTAAAGACTCCAAGATGTTGATATCCCAACTTATTCAAAGATTCTACAGATTGATTTCTACGCACCTCTTTCCAAACTCTTCAATACCATGGAATCAAATCCTTAAAAGTCTGCAAATGGAAATAAAAGAGTGATTTTTCAATAAGTAGCCATGATCTCAATCTAGCTGAATTAAATTACAAAACTAGCTTGTACAACGCATATATCATCAATACGATAAAAAAAAGTTTGCATTTGATAATAAAATGCTATAAAAACTAGCTTGTAAATTTTTAAAATACGAAAATGGATCAAAACAACTACAAATACATTAAATAAAATATTATAAATGAATATTTAAGATTTAATAATGTTATATTTGTAAAATTTTATGATCGTTTAAATTGGCCTCTCCTAAACATATTCCTGGCTACGTCTATGATCGAAAGTAGGCCAGATGGAGAAGTAAGAATGTATAAGTCTAGAAATGATCCTTGAGAACTAGGACACAATGATTCAGAAACTAAGCTATTCCTAGAAAATATAATAAACTTGTAACCACAACTAATGTATAGCTTCCACAGAGTAAATGTAGCTCAAAAGGATCGAGACCATACCTCGTTTTTAAATTAGATACTTTTCCCTCAATTCCTGGTGGTCAGATCCAGATCATCATGTTCTTCTTTTCTTCCTGTTTTTCTTTAAGGATCACTTTCGTACTCTCACCGTTCCTTGGGTGTATCCAAGGCCTCTCATATAAACCTGATACCATCTCATACTGATGACCCTATAAAAAATAGGAAAGGAAAGGTAACTAGATATGCAAAATTAAGCAATCATGGACACTTAAAAACACATTAACAAGTCTAACTTCTCCAGTCGAAGCAATGTTGGAGCCCTAATATGCACGACAAAGACTGTCGCAATACAGCCTTTACCAATTGACGGCAATGCATAACTGAGCTATTAAAGTCCCAGATCAGTCTACAAATCATGGTAAAAAATATCAAGTTATTCTGTGCTTAGTCAAATTCTTTTCAGTCATTGAAATATTACTAAACTATCATATAATGACACTTCTGCCTTCACCAGAACTGGTCCCCCCAATAGGGATAAAGGTGTGTTCTCAATAAAGTTCTATCCATCAACAAGTTTTCTACAGTTAAGGGGAATTGAGGATACTTCACAATTATAAATGTTACAGGGTAATCCTGCCACGGAAGTAGTTCGCATGCTAGACTAATCAATATGCATTTTAACATAAACATCACAGTGGCATTAACACAGCATCAACACAGCATACTAGAAGAACATCAAACCTCTGGCATTTTGATATTTAAGTCTTCAGAGAGCTGATCAATACATGTATTAGCATCCACATCATATATCCCTCTGCTTGCATCACATGTAGCCAGTTTTCTTCTGGATCTCCTCCTGTTATTGAGTGATAAAGGGCAGACAATCCAAATAAATCAATAAGTGATGAAACATACTGACAACCTGTACTATGTTATCATTTAGCAATGCTATTACAAGACAAAATTAATGTGAGATTTACTTTGAATCATTTCGTCAAAGATTTCACCAACAATTTCCTCAATCACATCTTCCGGTCACTATTGTTTCATCCAGTAAAATAAAAATGACTATTAGGCCATCAAAACTGAAGGTCAAAGGTACTTATTGAGTTACCCAAGCAACCCTTCTAAGATCAAATGTTTAACGAAAAACTAGTTCAACTTAGTTTGGTTCAGACATGAGTGTGTATATACCCCCACAGTTCCACCATACTCTTTTAGAACAACAACCATGTTAACCTTCCTAATGCAGAACTCTCCGAGAAGATTCCAAACTGACATTGAATCTGCAAACCAATAACAAACCCTATTTAATCAGGCAGATAATATAAACAACAGATTCACGAAAAATAAATAATACAATAATTTCATTATAAAATACAGCATCAACTTGAAATTGGCTATAGGATTACCCGGGACGAAGTATGCAGGTTTGTGGCCATGTCTCCCACTGTAGTACTTTCTAGGAGATCCCCCTTAAAATAGAAAGATCATAATCCTGCCACTATGAGACTGTCGCATAAATCAATAAAAAACCTGGTATTAACCTCAAGAGGGAGGAAGAGGAATAGAAATCCCCTGACCTTCTGAACATTATCCAACAGATACATTGCATAAGCAATGCCCACTATATTGTCACACACATTGCTCAAACACAGGCACCCTAAACACACATTTCTCAACTTATTAGCTTTTTGAATATGCACTCGCTGAAGCAAAAGTACCAAGAATTAATTTGCCTTGAATATTGATGATTTACCCACAACTGTGGAAATCAACAAGAGATGGTACAATTTGTACATCGTAAGCCTGTTTTAATAAAATTCCCCTTTTGTTAGTTATCGAAAATGTGAAATAATCAAAATGGCCCATATCATTGCAACCATCACATTTAACTAGTCGCAATCTATTCTGCCAAGAAATTGGCAATGAGGCAATAGGATGAAGATAAAATTCATTGTGAAACTTCTGGTTATGTGTAAATGCGTTACAGATTTCTTTGACTACTAGCATTCGAAACTAAAGACATAGACATATTAATTACAGATAACGATATGTCTTCATTAATAAGAATATTTGCCTAATATACAGGACATTGTGGCATGCCTGTCAATACTTAAGTGGCAACATTCAAACAAAATCCTAAATCCGTTAAAATAACATAATACAGTCAAATGAAATTCCTTTTGCAATTATTAGATGACTGAATAAAACATCAGGATGAACACTTATTTTCACTACATTATAGCAACCACTTGAACCTCTGCTTTGTTATAGTGACCTACTGCCCCATTCAACCCTAACTTCCTTCTCTACATAGCCTAAACATGATATGAATAGCTTCATACAATAACTTCATAAATAGCAATTTATTATCATAACCATGTGCCGTGTTCTTTTGCTAGACAGAAATACTTTCTTGAATACAACTGAAAACCTTTTGGAAATAGCCAACAAATGAAGTATGATGTGTATACAAATAGCAATGACTATCTTTTACCAAAAAAAATAAAAAATCATGATCAAACATACCTTCTTCCTTTCAAACCAAGAGCTTTTAGCATTCCCATTGATAGATATGTAACAACCTTCCCACAGGTAAAGTATCATGGAAAACCATGCCAGTGGCCTGACCTAAAACATTGCAAAGTCAAATAGAGATGGCAATCATCACTTACACCAAAAGTACCATACATTTTTCAGTTAACATCTTTTATGCTGAAACAAGGTAATGTGGTTTGAATTCAAAGAGCTTGTGCTTATTTTATTAGTCCATATATTCTCATTCGCTATCCCTCAACTTTAGCGAACTAAAACCAAAAAAAAGAAAAGCATTCACAACACCACAACTGAACACGGTCTAATATCATGCCCAACATAATAATCGGACTTTATAAGTGCATAATGTGCAATAAAAGGTTACAGACTCCATAAACCACTAACATCAAAATGACACCAAACTAAGCTAATACACTTCCAAGACCAGAATTGACAAACGCTTAAATGCATAGTTTGTGACAATACAATTACACACTAAACAAAAACAGACTAGCTCAAGAATTTTATACCTTTCAAGGCCAAAGCGTTGTGACAGACGTCTCAGCCATTGACAGAACGCAGACAAACCCAAAGCGCAGCAAAACCAAACCTTGCTCTTTAATACTCTCAAAACCTGAGAAACTTTAATCCAGCATTCTTCAACAACATATGCCCCGCCCCAATATCTCCATACCCTGCATTTACTGCACTCTCCCACGGCAAAACTCTCATGCAACCAAACACCAAACCCCACAAGCAAGCGCCCCTAAACGTGACACTTTGGATAGCGATGAATTCTGGGTGAAATGTTGACAAAAATTTCGAACATCGATTTTGCTGGAGGAAAAACGAGTTTTTTATTGTTGAAACGAACGTGGGTCGATTGAAAACGAAGATTCAAGAGCAAAATCCATGAAATATGAACAAAATGAATAAAAATTGAAACTTTGGCAAATCCCAGCAAAATAACTAGAGAAAAAAAAAAAAAAAAACCCAGAATTAAAAGGAATTCGGTCAAAATATGAGAAATGAAGAGATTGAGATACGTACAAGAATTTATGGGTTTCGGGATTGAGTTTATTAGTGAAAGTGAAAAATGGAGAAGGGATATAAGGGAATATAGGGTTTTTCAGAGGGTAAAAGAGAGGAGAATTTTGGGATATAGTTGAAATGGAAGATTGACGAAGTGAAAGTGGAGACTGGAAGTCTTCTACTCTTCCATTTTCAATGGCAAGCGGGACTGTGGGAGTCATAAATTACTAGGATTGCCCTGACTGTAAGTTCCGAAATTACAACTATATCCTTACATTTTTTAGATACAGTAATAAAAAACTCCCATGAATATCAAGATTAATAAACACAATAAGGAAAATATTTTGTGGATTGGAGGCTCCTTGATTAATTTAATGATTTGTGCATTTTTTAACAAATATAACACATAGGACTAAACAGATTTGAGATCAATATGTAAAGAACAAAGTTTCTTCAATATAACTCATTGACTAAAACTCCCATAATACCATGATTATAAAAACAATAATGAGTAACAGACTGGAGATAAATATATGTAAAAGCTGCCATAAGTTCTCCTCATGCAAAGCTTGGAAATAAATACTTACAATAGGACTAGTAATGTAGCAGAAAGTGCATTTTGTTGATTACCATCAACTTGAAGCACTTCACAACACAAAAATAATAAACATTTATTCTTTCCAGCAAGACTTGAAGCACTTCATTTATGCTTTTTGGAAAATGCGCTTTACCATGAAAACTTGTAAATAACAGAGTGCTGAAAGATATATATAGACCATGTTGATTCAATCATTATACTTTTTGCTGTTGTCAAGTACCTAACTCTGAAAAGAAAGACAAGATTGAAAAATTAATGGTGGAGTTTATATTCAGATTCTCATAAAAGAATACAATATAGTTGTAAAAACGAACCACTGACCTTGTTAAGAGCAACGCTTGAGTCATTATTTCTTCTTCTTGGATGGTTCTCTTCACTCTTGCTATGATTCTGAGCCTCACTCTTTCACAATTAATACAAACCATAAAGGTTTTCCTATTGTGAACCAATGTATCCCATAGACAAGCCTATTACCAATCCAGATCCGTACCCCTCAAAACGATTTTCAATCAAACCAGCTCAAATTATCGACTTCTTCATGTAGGACGGTATTGGTGATGATGGTACATCATTGCCACATTTCTTTGACAATGGGGATCCACACAACCCCAAGTTTCCTTTGTAGGAGTCATTTTGAAATGTATTGAGTTGATTTCCTTGAGGTATAGATCCCACAAGCTGGTTGTATGAAAATTCAACACAGAAAGAAATGTCAAACTTGCCAATTGATTAGGAATCTCTCCAACAAGCTTGTTGAAGGAGAGGTCTAATGATTCAAGACTTGTCAAATTTCCCAATAATGGTGGAATATGACCTCTAAGGTTATATGAGAAAGTTGAGGATTTGGAGGAAATTAAGCTTTCCGATTACTGTTGGTATTTGCCCTTGAAATTGGTTGCTTGACAAATCCACCATTACGAAAATGGTTAGAATCTTGTCTATTTTTCTATCAACCGCCTTTTACCGTCAAACTGGAATAGTATCGAACATAGATCGGCATTTTCCAATACTGTGAAACATATCCCTCTATACCTTTGCTCATATATTCCAATACACCTTTATGATTCTTACCACCCATCATATTAAATTTCTCAAAGTATCTTGTTGGCAAAATACCTGTGAATTGATTGTGGAGAGGTCAAGTATTCGCAACTTAGGAAATGCTAATCTTGTCTTGGGTTCGCCAATGAAACCATGAAATCTATTAGATCTCAGTATCAAAACTTGCAATTCCGGAAGGTTTGCTAACCATAAGGAAAAGTATCGTTGATCATGTTGTTTCCAACATTTAGAAGTTCCAAGCGACTACAATTAACCAAGTATGTGGTAATGACCCTTCCACTTATTGCCAGAAGGTCAAGGTATTGATGAAGTTATTAGCTAATGATTGCGGGATGGTTCCACTCAAGCTATTGAAGACAGATCAAGATATTGAATAAGCTCAAGTTGCAAATGAATGGAGATCTCTCCAATCAACATATTGTCAGAAACTAATAAGGCAACCATCTTAGGTGCATCTAGATCACAAGTGGCCTTGGAGCAAGTTGGATAGGTCAAGAACAGCTAGATTCATCACGGAAACTTTTCAAAAGGGACAAAACTTGTCAAAACATTGTGAGAGAGATTCAAATAGTGTAAATTTTGAAACAATTCCAATTGTTGTTGAGAAATCTGGCCGGAATTCTGTTGTCTGAAAGGTCTATAATACTTAAGTCTTCTGAGGTTCTTAAGAAGATAGGGAATTCAGTTATGCTGCAAGAAGAGAACTGAACACCAAAAGGTATGCAAGTAATGTTGGCCTTTTTGGAGGTAACTAAAGATAGTAGTGTTGTGGGAAAGGTCAATTGTTACTATATTTTTGAGCTTGGACACGTTTCTGGTTTCACAATGCCACTCAAATTGTTGAAAGAAAGGTCAAGGTCTGTAAGGTTTAAAAGTTCAAACATGGAATTCAGAATTGAACCTTGAATTTGGTTATTCAGTAAAGAAACAAATGTCACAGAACCAGGCTGATGGAACTCCTCAATCGGACCTGTGAGTTTGTTATTGCTAAGGTCCAATGATGCCGAAGATGGTAGAGTAAACAACCAAGATGGAACTCTTCCATCGAGAAAATTATCACATAGGTCGAGAGAAAGCAGATTTGAAAGACCACTTACTTGATATGGAATAAGACCTTCAAATTGGTTTTCGGAAAAGTCTAAAGCTGAAAGCTGTGGGAGGTTGAATGCTGAAGATGGCAACTGACCACTAAAATTGTTGAATGAATGATCTAGATCGGTTAATTTGCTAAGGTTGTCAAAAATATCTGGAATCTGTTTTGATTGTTGTAACTGAGATCTAAACTTCTAAGCTGATTGAGTTTAGATAATGACATTACAACTTCGCCTGTAAAATAATTGCCTGCCAAATCCAAAGAAGTGATATTCGTGCAATTCCGAAGTGATGTTGGAATTGAACTTGTGAAATATGTCATAGAGAGATCCAACACATTCAAGTATCTAAGATTGCCAATTTTGTCAGGCAATTTTCCAGAGAAACTTGTGAAAGAGAGATCCAATACATTCAAGCATCTAAGATCACTGACTGCGTCAGGTAATTGTCCTGAGAAATTTGTCAAAGAGAGATCCAAGAATCTAAGGGAACTGCTCCAGTTAGAGTTTGGTAAATTACCTCTAAGCTGTATATTTGTGGTCAAACTCAACTTCTGGAGGAACGGAAGGCGGAAAACATCATTTGGAAACCTGCCTTGCAGACCAGTATCTCCAACTGAAAGAGATATCAGAGTAGAAGACAAGTTCAGCGAGGAGCCAGGTGCAACTGAAGACAAATCCACCTCATCGAGATGAAGATATCTTAATTTTGTAAGATTCTGTGAGTGCTTATTAAAAACATGTTGGCTCAATTTAGGTAATCTAAGGGAATAAGTAACACCAGAGAGGTCAAGCGAAACAAGTTTAGATAGGTGAAAAATTTCAGTTGGAATTACGCCATAGAAACTGGAGAAAGAAAGATTAAGATGCGTTAATTTCATGAATTGACCAAACTTGGATGAGATTGTTGATTCACTGAAATCATTTCAAGCGAGCTTGAGCTTCTGGAGATTGTGAAGGAAGAAGAGACTACTATTGTCATTGACAATGCCATGGATCCAACTATAAGAAAGGTCAAGGCCAATCATATGAGCTGTGTAGCTATCACAAGTGACCCCATCCCATAAGCAGCAATCACTTCCCTCTTTCCAAGAATCTGTCTTAGGATAATGATATTCTTCGCAAGGATAGTAAGAAGAACTATCAATTTTTAAGGTGCTCTTGAAATGGAGTAAGGCAGAGCCTTGTTCAGGGGAGCAAAGTTTGATTGAACGAGAAGAAGAGTTATAAGGAGATGAGGAAATGGCTTGAAAATTCAAGTCCAACAGGAAGAGGCAGGGGAGTTGATAGTGCCATGATAGCCTCCACATGTTTTTCACAGGAAACGGAAGAAATTGCATAAAATTGTTGAGAGAGATGAGAAGTGAAGATGAAATGTCTATGTATGTATAGATAAATAAAAAGAGAAAGTGAGCCAATTTCCAAGTTAGAATCCATTCGAACAAATTTTCTATACAAATATCATGCACTGAGGTCTACTCCATCAAGTCTTTGGTCAAGCACTAACGAGGGACTACTGGATTTAGTCTTGGTCATCCAGGGGCTCTTTTCCTACTTTCTAATAAAAAAATAACACAAATGTCTAAAATAGTCACAAACCCGAAATCCCAATACACCCAATGGTCTCTCACACTTTAAAATACTCTCTAAAATTAGTATTCTCGAATGGTTTGAGAGACAGGTGAGTCACTTGTGTTTCTCTTGCAAGTGGCGCTCATAGTCATAGTGTTTTGGAGGCCATTGCATGTCAGAAATTGAGGGACGAAATTAAATCTGGGATTAAGACCTTGCAGCCAACAGTTTTGCTTGAGAATGTTGATATTGTTTCAGAAGCATGAAGAACAAATTGTTCTTCCAATTCGGTGGCATTAAATGTCATCAAAGAAGTTCAACTTTAAGCATTTAAAATGTGAAGAATGTGCAGACAAATTGCATGGCATTTATGAGCCATGAGTTAAAGTGAACATAATCTTGCACTATTTAAACGCTACTTAAGCCACCATTTCTATATCCCAACTTCTGTAAATAAACTTTGTGTCCTCTATCCTGATACTTTTAGCTGCGGAGCCGGATGAAAAGGGTAAAGAAAAGCAGTTAGTATGAAGGTCCTTGTAGTCAACGAATATGAATTTACTAGTTAATAGATTTTTAGACATATAAATATCATTAACTCCCACTAATGAGATCTAATGAGGTACACAGTCAAAGTTAACAGGAAAGTGGAAGACACCTAATTAGGAGCACCACTTGCGGCATACTTATTTCTTCTCTGCATCCTCCGTTCTATATTCTCATTTACATTCGTTTGTGGTTTTCTTGCGCATATTAATACAATAAATATATCCCATAGCTTGTCAAAAAATGTAAAGGAGTGATTTATGAGTATTTTTATCAAGAAATGGATATCACTGCTATTGCAAAGAGGTGATTTATGAGTATTCAAGATTCAATCATAAGAAACAGAACACTGCAATAGGACTAGGAAATTCAGCAAGGCCATTTTATGGAGCAAAAATTTACTACCTTGTCATCTACTTGAACAGACCCAAAAATAACAAACAAAAATTTATAATAGTGATTTTATTTTTCACGATTCATTTATATACTTATAAAAAAACAAAGCACTTACAATAATAACCAGTAACTCCAACTGAAGCACATTATGTAAAGCTAAAAAAATTGGCTTACTCTTTGACTCTGCTCATGATTCTGAACCTTACACTTTCAACCATCGGTCCATAGTGGTTTTTCCGTTGCGAATGCAATATATCCCGTAGACAAGCCTATTACCAATCCACATCCGTAACCCATCAAAGTGATACTCCAATCGAGCTAGCTTGAAGCATTGTCTTCTTCGTGGAATATTGATGTTATTGGCTTTGGTGGTACATCATTAGCAAATTTGTTTGACAATGGCGATCCAGACAACCCCATGTTTCCCATCATGTTTAAGACAAACATCCATATGTCTTCCAGTCTTAGGGACTACTCTGTTAGTGAAAAATCAGTTTGTCCTTGACTGTAGCGGACCAAAACCATAGAGACGAAAATGTGTTAAACTCACAAAAACTAAGACTTACAGAAGTCAGAGAATAAGATAGACTGGCCATGGAACTAGGTACTATGACAGACATGTCCACATAATAAAGAAGAAGTTATGTTAGGTAAGTCAAATTTTGAACTAGCCCTTCCCAGACAAGTTTTTTCAATTTTCATGGGAAAAATTTGTTCAAATAATTAATCAGATACTGAGAGGTCAAGAGAAACCGTGTCAGACAAGTGGGATATCTCATATAGAACTAGAACAGTGAAGTTTGAGTTAGAGAAACTACGTAATTGACTGAAATCAAAAGAAATTTGAGAGAGTTTGAAATCATTGAGAGCAAGTTTTAGCTTTTGCAGGTGACGAAGGAGAAAGAGACTACTGTTCGAAGGAATGTTTCCCTGAAGAATGGTTGAGGGCAATGACATGACCAGTTGAAGTATAGCAGGTGACACCGTCCCATGAGCAGCAATCAGTATCCTCTTTCCAAGACATTGCTTTTGGATAAGAAGGACATCTTCCATAACAATATGGTCGGGTTTCATTTTCAGAGATAGAATTTTTTTGCATAAAGTCACAGTCAAAATAGAAAGAGGGATCTTCAATGAAAGAATATTGTTGCTTAAAGTGGAGCAGTGCAGAACTCTGGTCATGAGAAGAGAGTGTTGCAGAATTTTGAAAATATTAAAACAAAATAATTGTAGACAAAGAAGCTGATAAGCACGTCTAAGGAACCTCATCTTTCCTTATGAGATCACAACTTTACCGCCGTGAGTCATCCTGGCCGTACAATTGTGCAGCCATAGAATTCTAAATGTTTAACCACCATTCATTTCACACAACTATTCAAGAAAATGAACACAATTACCGAGTCAACAGCCTCATTCTTCGCTATTTCTGTATACCCTTCAACAATTATTTAGTCCTCCTTTCATATCTTAATTTTTTTTAATTTTTTGCTTTTGTGTTTTCACTGTTGAGGGGAAAATTTAAGAACTCTTTGTCACCATAGACTTATTGTTTCGAGATATCATTTTTTAAATTTCATTAGATGAAATGAAAAGTGGAATTCATGTTACTAGATGGAGGATATATTTGATTCAGAATATAACGTTGTTTTATATTCTTAGTTTTTAATTTTTATTTAGACCAAGTCCAGTGTAATTCTACCGTGTTCATTTTTTATTATGGTCATGTGTTCTTAGGTATAATGCAATGAGGAACAAAAAGTTTGTTCCTATAACTTGCTTTTCTCTCAAGCACTGTGAAACTTGCATTAGAATGTTGCATTTGGTCGAATTTAGGCGAATTCCACTGAATCTTGTCTCATTTCGGTGGAGATAACTATACATAATCTCTTGTCTCACTAGTGGTCAATGCACTAGTGAGAACTACTCCATCAAAGTCTTGGTGATGCACTAGCTAATGGATGATACAGTTTTGCAAAAAGGTTCTTCCATTAGTTTCTTTTTTTCTGGATTTATGATTGCTGTACAAAGTTCTATCTGTAGCTGTCAAATTTGTGAATTAGACAAGAAGTTGGAAATCAATGTATTGTAGTCTCTCTAGTATATAATTTAAATTGGGAGGCACCAAATCTGTGCACTATGCTTTATGCATTCCCCTTTCTGCAGATTGGAGATGCTTATGAATGCAAAAGTTCTCCTCATGTGAAAGCTTAGAAATAAAACACTTACAATAGGACTAGTAAATGTAGTAGAAAGTGCATTTTGTTGAGCTTACCATCAACTTGAAGTACTTCGCAATCCAAATAATAACAAACAAATTGTTCTTTCCAACAACACTTGAAGCATTTTTTATTTAATAACAAACTATTGAAAGATAATAGATATACCATGTTGATTCAATCGGTTATGTTCCTTGCTTTGTCAAGTACCTAGCTGTGAAAAGAAAGCGAATGTTGAAAAATTAATGGTGGAGTTTATATTCAGATTCTTGAAGGAGCATAAAATAAATGCTGTAAAAATCGAAGCACTCAGCTTGTTAAGAGCAGCGCTTGAAGTCACTAATTTCATCTTCTTGGATGGGTTCTCTTCACTCTTGTTATGATTCTGAGCCTCACTCTTTCAACCATCAATACAAACCATAAAGGTTTTCCTGTTGTGAATACAATATATCTCATAGACAAGCCTATTATCAATCCAGATCTATATACCCTTCAAAACGATTTTCCAATTGAACCAGCTCGAATCATTGTCTCCTTCATGGTAGATGGATGGTATTGGTGATGGTGGTTCATCATCAACACATCTCTTTGATAACAGGAATCCACAAAACCCAAAGTTTCCAATGTAGGAATCATTTTGAAATGTATTCAATTGATTTCCTTGAGTTATAAAACCTACGAGTCAGTTGTATGAAAGGTTCAATACAAAAAGAAATGACAGACTTGTCAATTGATTAGGAATCTCTAACAAAGGTATTGAAAGAGAGGTCTAATGATTCAAATCGTATCAAATTTTCCAATATTGGTGGAATATGACCCGTGAGGTTATCATGAGAAAAGTTGAGGACTTGGAGGGAATTAAGCTTTCCAATTACTTTTGGAATGTCCCCTTGAAATTGGTTGTTTGACAATTCTATCATTTTGAAAATGTTTATAATTCTATCTATTTCTCTATCAACACCTTTTACTGTCAATATAATTGAATAATATTGAGCATACCTAACAAAACCCTCATCCCCATAAGTCACTTGTCCCATATAATCCGAATAATCTTCATGATTATCCCCACACATCATATTAAATTTCTCAAAATACCCATTTGGCAAGAAACCAATGAATTGATTGTGAGAGAGGTCAAGTATTAGCAGATT